CGTATAACGCACATCGATTTATATAACTCGCACCTATACTTTCAAGCTGTATTTTTTAATTTTTAAGTATATTCGCCGCATAACGCGCACTCCTTTTTTACGAAGGAACCTGAAACATACGAGTGCAATGCTAGTATGTTTTGAAGTCATTTATTCGAGGTATTATCCCAGGATTTTGTGGAAATATAGTATACTTTTTTAGAACCACACAACTTTTTAAGTTCCTTGGGTATGTCATTTCTTTTAAATAAACAGTGTTCCGATCTATGTAGAAGCTCAATTTTTTTCTTATCACGTCTTTTTTTTTTTTTTATTTTTGAAGCTATTATTTTATATCCGGCGTATAACACGCACCCGTAAATTTTGATCTTACTTTTGAGTTAAAAGTACGTGTTATGCTCCAGATTTTATGATATCTAAAATAGTAAATGTAAAATACTCCTGAGTTTGATTTTAAAATAACTTTATGAAATACTATCCTCAATGTAGTCAACACTCTTGAATGAATAATTTTTGAATAAAAATCTTCTGTAAAGGGGAGGAGATGTGTACTTTGAGCAGATTATAATGGCAAATTTGGACAAGTTTTAAAAAGGCTTGATTTATTTTAAAGACCTAAATTTTTCATTCATGTAATAATTATATTATGATAAAAATACCTAAGTTATATGACATAAATAAAAATTATGATCCTTATGTAAATTAAACCCTCAAAACGTTATTGGATTTCATGGTATACAGTCGGACCTCTATTTAACGAAGCCGATAAATCCCCAAAAAAAGTTCGTTATATGGAAATTTCGTTATATAGATTCATCTTTCGATATATTTTATAAACCACATGAAAAAAAATTTTAATTCACATACACTATTTATTAAAAAAGTAATTATTTACACATTTTGTAAATTAATATTTATTTATTTTATGCGCCTCACCCTTAAAAAAACAAAAAGAAAGAAAGAATGAAAAACTGCAAGTGAGAGAGGAAAACAAGAAAAAAGGATGTCGAGGAATATACTGTATTTCCAACACTCTAATAAAATAATTTCGTATTAAAATTAATGAATTTTAAGGACATTTTCTAATTTAAAGCATAGTAATTTTAAACACATACAAACACATGCATCATTTTATAACTAGAAGTTCTAAACATACATTATCACATGCGTCCTTAAATTTAATTACTCATAAAATCTGTTAATTTTGTTTGAGTTTTTTTGTTTGAAAAAATGCTTTGTTTCATAATATGCCTCACGTCTTTGTAATGCACCAAAAGTCCCTTCGGAAATATTTTTCCGTATCTTTTCTTAAATTTTTCTAGCCATCCATTACTACCTAGTAATTGGTCGTGTCCCAAAGCCTTCGCAAATTGAAGAGCTTTCTCTATTACTAAAGGCTGAGAGATCGGAACATTTTTATCTCGCATTGTGCGTATCCACTTTAAAACTGCCTCGTCGACATCTTCATAGACTAATGTTCTTAAACGTTTTGAACAAGAATTCAACGAATCATAATTTTGTAACTTATCTCGATTTCTTATAATAGTTGATAAGCTGTTTGGAGGAATACCAAATTTTAAAGCAATATCCTTTTTCTTGACACCTTTATCCATTTCCTGAAGAGTTCCATTTTTTTCTTTGATGCTCAAGCACTTACGTTTTGACATTTTCGAGCTTCAGGAAATGAAGTTACCAGTACGACTGATCAACACTACAAATGAACGGAGGCTAGTTCAAAGACACGCGGACACAAGACAACTCCACTAAGGGTGAAAGGGGATATCGAAGATGGTGAACTGGACAATGGGTTTTTCAGTCCTAGTCAATTTATTATATAAACAATACTGAATAAAATGAAGTGTGCGTTTTCTCATTAAAGCTAAATTTTCGAAAAATGCTATAATATAATTCAAGTTTATACTTTTCACTTGAATATATAAATAAAAATGCGTTGCTTAGTTTGCTTTTTGAATTTTTGGTTGACTGAGCCATCTATTATTTTCTGTTAGACAGAAATTTGGGCAAGAAATGTATCCTTTTCTTCATTGCTTAGAAAAAAGTAATTTTGTTCTTATTTTCAATAACAAATAAATAACAATTTAAGATTTTTCAACCAATCAAATATCAGTCATTTTTGGCTTTATTGTTTCAAACTAATATAGCCTCTTGCAGCTTTGCGTTTCACCGGCATTATTTTTTAATGTTGACTAATCTGAGTGAATGAATATCAACGTCACACTGTTGAGCTAATGGAGGGCTTTCGGCGATGGATCTCGTTATTTTGAGCCACGGGTCAAGTGATGAGGACAGCCCCTGAGCTGGCACCCTCTCTCCTAACTACCACACCTCACCAAAGGGAAAACGTTCTTGACTAATCTGAAAACACTATATTAGTGTTATGGTTTTGTACTTGTAAAAGGTAGTTTTGAAAGTGCTGAGAACATAGCTAAATGAGGTTCCCTTTTGTTTTTATAATTATTTAGAACACTTTAATTTTGTTAATTTTTGTAATAATTGAAACAGATTTGAGATGCATCGAATCTTGATTTAGATGTAATTATTAGAGCTCATATCTATTTGAATTGCCTTTTGCATATATTTTCTTTAGTTCTTTGTTAGTATTATTTTATTTTTTAAAAATTAAATTTTTGAAGTATTACCTTTGTTATATATATCCAAAGCTGAGAGAGTTTTTGAAATAGCTTGTTTTCAACTAAAAGAGATATTAAATTCCTATTGTTTGTTGTAACCTAGTAATTTGATCCCAGGAAGCTTGGAAGTTCTCCGAAGAAACATTCACCGGATTTTACTTCTCTCTTTCTTGAATAAACTTTCTGAATGTAAAAAGTTTTTAAGGAAATAAATAGAAAATAAACTAGCTACAATAACATGATTAATAACATAATTAATTTAATCAATGTTGCTTGGGATCTCTCTTAAACTAACAAAAAACATAAAATGCTGAACTTTTCCTGAAATTAGTGCAAAGAAAACTCAATATGAGTGTATACGGTACACACAAAATGTCTTAAAATTTCCATTACTTTTGAAGTATATAATATTTTCAGCGTTTCTTCATATATAGTGAATTTAATCTTTGCAATTTAAAAATATTCTCTTTTCATAATACTTCTAGTTATATTTGTTTATAAAACTATGCGATACTCAATATGAGGTATTAAATTATGGATATACAAAAATTACTTATATATAAAATTTTATTTATAAGGTTCCGGATTGAATCATCAAATGACAAGGAAAAAGTTCCGAACTTTGTTTTTAGAGAAAGGTAGGAGGACTTCTTTAAAATACTTTTTCTAGGGCATATTTATTTTTGATAAATCGTCAAAAAATAAATTAAAAACTCTTTTGTGATTTTTTTTTAAGTAAAAAATATAATTTTAGGGATTTATGGCTTGTGATAGTAAGATTACATTTACAAGAAGCATTTTGAGTAAAAAAATCACTTTTAGATAAATGAATAATATCAAAACCTGAAAACCATTTAATATATTTAAAATCCATACAAACTCAAATAAAGCTATATTAATGAGAAAAAATAGTCTGATAGATGCGAATAATTTTTGTTGCTCATGATAGATTATTACTTACAGTATTTGTTTCGTAACATTCACTGTTTGTTTTTGTTTTTCTTGTTTTCAATTCCTCCTATTAGTTCACATTCTCCCTATATATATATATATTTCTTGTTCAAATTTTCAATCCCTAATAAAATACTTTTTATTCATCCATTTAAGTTCAAATACATTTTTTTCAAACTTGTAGTGGATGACACTTGCTGTTAATACAGTTTTTCAAATATTAACCCATTAATTATATTTAATTAATGAAAAAATAGTAAAAAACAAAAATAATAGTCCAACACCATGTATAAAAAGGAAAATCGCTCGTTGTGTTCCTGTAGCGTAATGAAGAGCGCGTTGGACTTCTAATCCAAAGGTCGCGTGTTTGAAACCCACCTGGGATGGCCTAATTTCTGAGAATATGATTTCTTTTTACTTTAGTATTTTATTGGAATAATTAAATTTAATTAATGAATAAATAGTAACAAGCAAAAATAATAGTGCAACACTCTATATAGAAAGGAAAATGGAAAATTGTAAGGAAAAGCGCTTTCTATTTTGTCACTTACTATTGTGATTCTGTCATATGTATATACATATTTATATTAATTGTAATAATTTAATAAAAAGTAAATAAAGTAAAATATTTCTTTGTTGACCTAAGTGGGAATTGACTTTATATATATATATTACTTGTTTTAAATGTTTTTTCAAACAATGCGTTTACTTACTATTAAATCACCACCACATTCATATTTTTTCTCTCAGACCAATATCCGAGGCCATTCAATCAAAACTCATTATAATAATTTTAAGATGCAGAAGTTGAGAAACCGGTTTAATGGCTGAAATCCCTGTTTGGGTAAGTCAGAATGTAAACATGAATTTACAAGATGCATCTAAGAAAAATCGTATTATTAGTAACTATAGATATTTTAGGTTGGAATTTTACAATTTGAATCAAATAAATAGAAAACATTTATGAAGCTAAGACATATGACTACTTAAGTATGACCCCAGTTTTAGGAAATTTTGCCAGCAATAATCTATCTATTAAATACCATAGAAACAATTTCAAAGTTGAATAGAGGAACGAATATAATGAAGAGAAAAACATAAATAATAGAAAAAAACAATTTTAAAATAAATTCCTACTGAGGTTAATAAAGAAAATTTTTATTTCAGCTACTTTTTATTAAATAGTTACAATTAATATAAATAGAAAAACATATGACTGAATCACACACAATATTGAATGGCAAAATAGGAAGCGATTTTCCTTGAAATTTTCCATCTTCTTTTCTATATAGGGTGTTGGACTATTATTTTTATTTGTTACTATTTATTCATTGATTAAATTCAATTATTCCAATAAAATAGTACAGTAAAAAGAAATCACATTCGCAGAAATTAAGCCATCGCAGGTGGTAATTGAACCCACAATCTTTGGATTTGAAGTCCAATGGGCTATCTATTGCCCTACAGGGACCCAACGAGCGATTTTCCTTTTTATATATGGTGTTGAACAATTGTTTTTGTTTGTTACAATTTATTTATTAATTAAAAAATTAGTGAATTAATATTTAAAAAAAACTGTATTAACAACAAGTGTCATCCACTACAAGTTTGTTGTTGTTACTGATGCCACCTGATCGACAAAGGCCAGATCGAGGCCCACGAAATTCATCTTGGCAAAAGGCTAAGTTACGCCTGTCGTTAGCCGTAGCTTTGAGCACCATACATGTGACAGTACGATTTGGCCCGTTTCCACCCCAATTTTGAGGGAGGACACCTGGGGGTGGTCCGGGCCTCCCACATCTCTTTCTTTTCCACCAACCACACGAAAGGATTTGCGGCTCGACGGCTATTTATAGTACCCCCATGCCGCGAGGGAACTATACATTTACAATCATCCATGTCTTCTCCAGAATTCGAACCCTGACCCTACGGCGCAGCAATCAGCGTCGCTAACCACTATACCGGATGGGTGACTACTACAAGTTTAAACAAATGTATTTGAACTTGAGTGGATGAATAAAAAGTATTTTATTAACGATTGAAAATTTGAACAAGATATAGATATATTTGTATAAATAAATATGTTTAGGGAGAGTGTGAACTAATAGTAGGAATTGAAAAATAAGTGCTCATTTTTATCTTTAACAGTTAAATATTAGTTTAGAATGAATGAACCTTGATATATTCTATCTATAACAAAATCTACAAAACGTTAATTCCTTAAAATTACAATTTATTCCAACACAAATAAGTTGAAATTAGTATTTTATTAAAAACTTTAAATGTCTGCTTCATAATGGCTTTAAGAGTTGTCTTAATAAATCTGAGGTATATAATTCTTCGTCTATCAAGCTCTCTCTTCGTAGATGATAGACGAATTTTTATATGTCAATTGAAACAAAAATAGTTTCCTCAATTTTTTCAGTGGACTTTCATTTAGTTTTGAAACCATCTACTAAGTAAAATATTGGATTAACGAGGTATAAAATTCTTAATTTAATAAAATGGATTTGTGTGTGTGTTATAGGAAAGTGACTCTGTAGTAGAGATAAATGTTTTTTTTCTTTCAATAGCTGGATTTCGAGATGCTATGCCAAACAAAGTGTATATATGAACTGTTACTTATGCCACCTGATAGACAGTAACATCAGATCAAGCCCCATGAAATTCATCGCAGCCAAGGGCTAGATTTTTACGCCTGTCGTTATCCTTAGCTTTGAGCACCATGTAGGTGACAGTAGGTAACATGCAGTTTGACAATGGTTCAAAAGTGCAAGATCCGTCGCCAAAAGCCCTCGTGTAGCTGACAGTGTGGCATTAATATTCACTCACTCACTTAAAAAAGACATTTTTCTCCGCATATTTTTTTTTTCAAAATCATTTGTCTGTTGTAGTTGTGTGACGGACTCACACGTCTTTTCATTAAACATGTCCTTTTGGGTTCTTTGGGGCCAGAATGAATGGCAACTCTTTTCCAACCAACTCAAGAAGTAAAGCGTGAAGGAAAGATGAAAATTAGGAAGCTTTTAAATAACAAAAGTTTAGAGTAAGCTGAGTGGCATTTGGGGAATGTTATGGCAGTCCGTATTTCAAGTGTGAAGAGATTTTGAGAGGTTAAGTAACAACCAACAGAAGTTACCCGTGACAGAGAGCCCTTAGGCCAAGGTGCATACCATTGCACGCCAGTGAGCCGCAACTTCAACCAGGATCAGATTGATTGATACTTCATTCGACATTAAGGTAAAAATGACTATTTAAATATTCGGATCTGTGATAGCATTGGAATTAAGCTTAAGCGAGTTAGCTATTGGTAGTGGTCCGAGTTACGTTATTTCGGTATTATATATTGTGTGTTTAGCCACCATAGATTCTCTCACATATCATATTATTATCTAATTTGTTAAAGGTTTAAGTTAAGATCTTAATAAAGTCATTTTAAGATCATGGCAGCTTCTAATTCTTCATTTATTTCTACACCTCTCGCTCGCGCTGATACTCTAGGAGAAGAGTACCCGAGAAGGGCCCCCTTACTGTTGTTACTAATACCACCTGTCTAACGAAATCAGATCGAGGCCCACGAAATTCATCGCGGAAAAAGGGCTAGATATACGCCTGTCGTTAGCTGTAGCTTTGAGTACATACAGGTGACAGTACATTTTGGCTCGATTCCACCCCAAATTTGAGGGAGAACACCCTAGGGGTGATCAGGGACCTCTCACTTCTCTTTCCCTTCCACCAACCTCACGAGAGGACTTGCGGCTCGATGGCCATTTAGAGCACACTCATGCCGCGAAGGCACTATACATGTACAAACATTCATGCCTTCTCCGGGATTCTAACCCAGGTCCTTCAGCACCACAGTCAGCGTCACTAACCACTTTGCCGGATGGGTGGCTTTATATGTGATCTAGATTTAGTTTATGAAAGAAAGAGAAGGACATATTGATTTACAGGGAGATGGGGGTAAAGATAGAAAGATTGCTGGAATATCCCAGGATTGTGTTAGCCTTTTTTACCGGCATGGATTTCATGACAGAAATTGACAACGGGGTAACCTAGTGGCTGTTGTCGCGTACTCGTGTTCGGTGTGTCCTGAGTTTGAGCCCTAGTGCCGCTAAAGACCTGCCGTGTAGAGGTGCTGATGCATGTTTAATCTATCAAGACTTACAGTCCTCCCGTTACTGAGGTGTGGTGATTTCGAGAGGATTGTGTCAGCTCAAGTGTCCTCGTCACTTGACCGAGTTTCAAAGTTACGAGGTTCATCGCAAATAGCCCTTTTGTTGCTTTATAGTGCTATGTTATTAAACACTCCTGAGTGAAACAGATGTACTTACCTCAAGCACAGCCACTTTTAGGCTTAGGCCCGCTAGGCACTTGCTTAGGGTGCTAAAGATTGAGGGCGCCAAAAATTGGAGGTCGAAGAAAGAGAAGAAATTAAAATTTTATCGAGCGTACCACCACTACGAGATAGCAAAGCGATAAGCGATGAAAAAGATGATAATTAACAATTTGACAACATCCCATTTATAATGTACACTCTATACTGTAATTGCAAACAATTTCATTAATTTACTGTACTATTTTACAAAAGAGTGGGTGGTTCGTGATGCCGTTACGTAAGAAAAGAACAAGAGTGGAAAAACAATGCTACTTTCATTTCCTTACGGCTGCCGGTTGCCAGTCTGTGTGTGATTCCCCCACGACCCGGGAGTACCATCTCTTCATCTACGTGACCTAGATTTGAAGGAGGAAATTATTGATTACTCAAGTTAGCCATAATCAAAATAATTTATAATTATTCCAATATATTGATCCAAACAACACAAGTCTTACTATAGGGATGCAATCAAGAGTGATGTAACGTATTTCTAAATTCTAAGTAAATAGCGCCTGGAATCCTAACCACTTTATTAGAAGTTATCCTAATGATCTTTATCTACCTTAGGTTTCTTAACACGCTAAAGTCTGTTCTATAATTACGCTCTGTATTTAATATCTTACCAACAGCTCACGGCGTTCAGCATCTCAGCTTCCTTTCTCCTTCTCCTATTCTACCACGTGAATACTCTAAAGCTCCATTATATCTCTATTAACTAATCTACATATCGCAGTTTCTTCTTGAGAGGATTGGATATGAAATAAAACTCAATTTTTGCTCCAAAGATTCCCCAAGATGATTAGAAAGAAAATCAGATAAAGCCCCGTCACATGTGATACGACGGGTCCATAGGTGGTGGATAATGGAAAGACTCTCCAAAGAATAAAATCAAAGAAAGGGAAAAGAGTAAGAACCAGCGATCCAAGAACCACCCCAAAACAAAACAGGCAAGGTAAGAACTGAAGGAAGGGGCAGCTCTATAAATAGTGGGAGGGGTCGTAACAATTTGAAGTGCCTAAGAAGCCGAAGAGGTTAAAAATGTCCCTGATCTAAAGAAGATAAATTCCTCAGGGAATTTCACTTTTTTAATGAGAGAGAAAAATGTTTGTTTTATTTTTGTATTATTTAAGCTAATAATTACTCTCGGGTAATAACACTGATTTTGTTTTGCAGGACATTTACATTTAAAATTTATTTCTTCTGAATTTTTGTCCAATTTGCACAGGACCAATTACTATTTTATTAATCTTGTTTTTTTTCATTGTTGTATGTAGAGAGTTCTTTATTACTTTTATTCCTCTCAAACTCAGTGGCGCAACAGCCCATGAGGGCCAGGGTCTTCTGTGCCCATCCCAATATACGTGACCATTGATGAGCTGAGGTGCATGAGCAGATGTCCCGATTAGAAGGTCAGTCTGAAGTGAGACCCCCAGTGTTTAAGTCCCCAAGCAGCAAGCTTGGTACTCATTTATCTACCCACTGCAGAAGGGATGAAAGGCTGAGTCAACCTAGCCCAGCCCGGGAATAGAGCCTGGACCCGTGGTGTGGAAGCGCGATATGTTACCACTCGACCACTGGGCCTTCACTTTTATTCCTATTAAGAGAAAAACCCGAAAACATATTCTGAATTTCTTTGTAAAACGAATCATTCTTTCTAAAACCGTCTCTGCATATCGCTAAAGTTATTTTTCTTACGTTTTATTTAAAATGAAAATTAGATACATTATCGAGATATTGTAGATATTCCGTGTCCAGGGATATATATTTATATAAATAGTTATAAACCTAAGCATAATTAGTCAGAACAGAGTAAAAAAATATTATATTAGCCACAGTAGTAAACTCTGGGCCCTAGGGACCAAGAATGCTGATTTAAACGTCTTTTGGCCAGCCAATCTTCACTTGTAATTTGCCTATCTTACTGTGCCATAGGGAAACATTATAAATATGTAATTATTACAAAATAACATACATCTGTGCTAATTTAATAATATATAACTGGAAAATTCGATAAACTACTTACTAATATAGAGTTTAAACTCTTTGTATAAAATACTGCTAAGACAATAAAACATACTACATAAACACAACAC